TTTCTCTCTCCCTACCAAACTTTATCACCAGCAATGCGACCATTGCTCTCTCTTCCCCCTTCTCTCTCCCTGCCACCCTTCTTTACCTCTTTCTCCCTCTCTCTCTATCTCTTTGGGTCTGTCTGTCTTTCCTTCCCTACCTCCCTCCCTCTCTCTCTCCTTCCCTCCCCTCCACTCCCTCCCTCCTTCCCACCATTCTTCCCGTCGTTCTGTTTTACCTCTCCCCCTCTCCCCTCCACCCTTCTCTCTCTCTCTTTCTTTCTTTCGACCTCTTGAGTGTGTGTGTGTGTGTGTCTGTCCTTCTGCCAGTCAGTCAGTCAGTCTCTTTCTGTTCCTCTCACTCTCCCTCCCTCTCTTTCTATCTATCTATATCTCTCTAACTCCTCTGTCTGTCTGTCGGTCTCTCTTTCTTTCTTTCTTTTATTCTTTGTCTGTCTGTCTGTTTCTCTCTCTTTCTTTCTTTTATTCTCTCTCTCTCTCTCTCTAACTCTGTCTGTCTCTTCCTCCGTCTCTCACTCTTTACCTATCTATCTCACTATCTCTCTCTCTCTCTAACCTTGTCTGTCTGTCTGTCTCTTCCTCCGCTTCTCTCACTCACTCACTCACTCACGCTCTCTTTCTCTCTCTCTCTCAATCACTCTCTCACTATCTCTCTCTTTCTCTTTTTTTTCTTTTTTCTCTTGAGTGTCCGCCAGTCAGTCAGTCTCATTCTGTCCCTCCATCCCCTCCCCCCCTCTCTCTCTCTCTTTCTCTCCCTCTCTTGCCTCTCTCTCTCTCTCTCTCTCTCTCTCTCTCTTCTCTCTCTCTCTCTCTCTCTCTCTCTCTCTCTCTCTCTCTCTCTCTCTCTCTCTCTCTCTCTCTCTCCCTCTCTCTCTTGCCTCTCTCTCTCTTGCCTCTCTCTCTCTTTCCTCTCTCTCTCTCTCTCTCTCTCTCTCTCTCTCTCTCTCTCTCTCTCTCTCCCTCTCTCTCTTCCCTCTCTCTCCCTCTCTCTCTCTCTTCCCTCTCTCTCTCTCTTCCCTCTCTCTCCCTCTCTCTCTCTTTCCTCTCTCTCTCTCTCTCTCTCTCTCTCTCTCTCTCTCTCTCTCTCTCTCTCTCTTGCCTCTCTCTCTCTCTCTCTCTTTCTTGCCTCTCTCTTTCTCTCTCTCTTGCCTCTCTCTCTATTTCTCTATCTTGCCTCTCTCTCTATTTCTCTCTCTTCCCTCTCTCTCCATTTCTCTCTCTTCCCTCTCTCTCCATTTCTCTCTTTTGCCTCTCTCTCTATTTCTTTCTTTTGCCTCTCTCTATTTCTCTTTCTTGCCACTCTCTCTGTTTCTCTCTCTTGCCTCTCTCTCTTTCTTCATCTTACCCGCCCCTCTCTCTATCTATCTTTCCTCTCTTGCCTCTCTCTTTCTTTCTCTCTCTCTCTCTCTCTCTCTTTCTCTCTTGCCTTTCTCTCTCTCTCGCCTTTCTCTCTCTCTCTCTCGCCTCTCTATCTCTCTCTCTCTCGCCTTCCTCTCTCTCTCTCTCTCTCTCTCTCTCTCTCTCTCTCTCTCTCTTTCCTCTCTCTCTCTCTCTCTCTTGCCTCTCTCTCTCTCTCTCTCTCTCTTGCCTCTCTCTCCATTTCTCTCTTTTGCCTCTCTCTCTATTTCTCTCTCTTGCCTCTCTCTCTATTTCTCTCTCTTGCCTCTCTCTATATATTTCTCTTTCTTGCCACTCTCTCTGTTTCTCTCTCTTGCCTCTCTCTCTTTCTCCATCTTGCCCGCCCCTCTCTCTATCTATCTTTCCTCTCTTGGCTCTCTCTTTCTCTTTCTCTCTCTCTCTCTCTTGCCTTTCTCTCTCTCTCTCGCCTCTCTATCTCTCTCTCTCTCGCCTCTCTCTCTCTCTCTCTCTCTCTCTCGCCTTCCTCTCCCTCTCTCTCTCTCTCGCCTTCCTTTCTCTCTCTCTCTCTCTCTCTCTCTCTCTCTCTCTCTCTCTCTCTCTCTCTCTCTCTCTTTCTCTCGCCTACCTCTCTCTCTCTCTCTCTCGCCTTCCTCTCTCTCTCTCGCCTTCCTCTCTCTCTCTCTCGCCTTCCTCTCTCTCTCTCTCTCTCGCCTTCCTCTCTCTCTCTCTATCTCGCCTTCCTCTCTCTCTCTCACTCGCCTTCCCCTCTCTCTCTCTCTCTCTCTCTCTCTCTCTCTCTCTCTCTCTCTCTCTCTCTCTCTCTCTTTCTCTCTCTCTCTCGCCTTCCTCTCTCTCTCTCTCTTGCCTTCCCCCCTCTCTCTCTCTCTCGCCTTCCTCTCTTTCTCTGTTTCTCTCTCTCTCGCCTTCCTCTCTCGCCTTCTCTCTCTCTCTCTCTCTCGCTTCCTCTCATCTCTCTCTCTCGCCTTCTCTCTCTCTCTCTCTCTCGCCTTCCTCCTCTCTCTCTCTTTCTCTCTCTCTTTTGCCTCTCTCTCTCTTTCGCCTTCCTCTCTCTCTCTTTCGCCTTCCTCTCTCTCTCTCGCCTTCCTCTCTCTCTCTCTCTCTCTCTCTCTCTCTCGCCTCTTTCTCTCTCTCTCTCTCTCCCTCTCTCTCTCTCTCTCTCTCGCCTCTCTCTCTCTCTCTCTCTCCTCTCTCTCTCTCTCTCTCTCTCTCTCGCCTCTCTCTCACTCTCTCTCTCGCCTCTCTCTCTCTCTCTCTCTCGCCTACTCTCTCTCTCTCTCTCTCTCTCTAGCCTTTCTCTCTCTCTCTCTCTCTTGCCTCTCTCTCCCTCTCTCTCTCTCTCTTTCTCTCTCTTGCCTCTCTTTCTCTCTCTCTCTCTCTCTCACTTTCTCTTGCCTCTCTCTCTCACTTTCTCTTGCCTCTCTCTCTCTCACTTTCTCTTGCCTCTCTCTCCCTCTCTCTCTCTTTCTCTCTCTTGCCTCTCTTTCTCTCTCTCTCACTTTCTCTTGCCTCTCTCTCTCACTTTCTCTTGCCTCTCTCTCTCTCACTTTCTCTTGCCTCTCTCTCTCTCACTTTTTCTTGCCTCTCTCTCTCACTTTCTCTTGCCTCTCTCTCTCTCTTTCTCTTGCCTCTCTCTCTCACTTTCTCTTGCCTCTCTCTCTCACTTTCTCTTGCCTCTCTCTCTCTCACTTTCTCTTATCTCTCTCTCTCTCTCTCATTTTCTCTTGCCTCTCTCTCTCACTTTCTCTTGCCTCTCTCTCTCTCTCTCTCACTTTCTCTTACCTCTCTCTCTCTCTCTCGCCTGTCTCTCTCTCTCTCTCTCTCTCTCGCTTCTCTCTATCTCGCCTCTCTCTCTCTCTCTCAACTTTCACTATCTATCTCGCCTCTCTCTCTCTCTCTCTCTCTCGCTTCTCTCTATTTCGCCTCTCTCTCTCTCTCTCTATCTATCTCTATCTCGCCTCTCTCTCTCTTTCTCTCTCTCTCTCTCTCTCTCGCCCCTCTATTGTCTTTCTCTATTTTGCCCGCCCCGTCTCTCTCTCTCACTCTTTTGCCCCCACCCCCCTCCCTCTTTTGCCCTCACTCTCTCTCTCTCTCTCGATCCCCTCCCCCCTCTCTCTCCCGCAAGCCTGCCTACCTGCCTTTCTATCTCTCTCTATCTCTCTCTCTCTCTCTCCCTCCCTCCCTCTCTCTCCCTCTCCCTCTCCATCTCTCCCTCCCTCTCTCCCCCCCCCCCCTCTCTCTCTCTCTCTCTCGATCGCCCCCCCTCTCTCTCTCTCTCTCTCGATCGCCCCCCCTCTCTCTCTCTCTCTCTCGATCGCCCCCCCCCTCTCTCTCTCTCTCCCGCAAGCCTGCCTGCCTGCCTGCCTCTCTCTCTCTCTCTCTCTCTCTCTCTCCCTCCCTCCCCCTCTCTCTCTCTCCCCCTCTCTTTCTCTCCCCCCCTCTCTCTCTCTCTCCCGCAAGCCTGCCTGCCTGCCTCTCTCTCTCTCTCTCTCTCTCTCTCTC